ATATGCTTCCCACGGTGCCTTCCCATCGAATTTCTGTGGCTTTCTTCATACTAGATCATTCCTATTGCTGACACTCATGGCTGGAATGTGACTTCTGACTGGACTGAAGATGTCTGCACTAGGGTTTAGCTCCGGGGTCTGGAAGGGGCTTCTCATTGTCTGGGGCTGATTAGATCCATGGCTACTATATCCTCCTTGTGTAAAAGACAGTAAATCATCCTTTAATGTATTTAATGCACTTTGAAATTTACTAATGTTTTCCATTTGTGTGTGCTGGCTTTCTCTCAACTGTTGGAGACTTTCTTCCTGTTTCTTCTTTCATTCCAGTTGCCACTGGTGTTGGTTTTCCTGCCACTGCTGTAGTCTCTCTTCTTGTTTCTTTTCTTTCTCCTCCAACCACTGCTGTAGTCTCTCTTCTTGTTTGTTTTCTCATTCTTCTTGTTTCTTTTCTTTTTCCTCCAACAACTGCTGTAATCTCTCTTCTTGTTTCTTTTCCTGTTCTTGTATTTCTGGTATCAAATCTGCTAAGCTGTAGTTTGATTTGCCACCTCTCATTTCCATCTCTTTTTCCATCCCACTCCTGACACCAATGTGTTACGTATCTGCTTGTTTGTTAATTTCCCATAGAAATTCTTTCCGAGAAACTTCAGGGATACAAGTCTTCTCTTAATTAAAACTAGTTTATTCTTTCTCGATACAACTTTGCAATGCACAGAATTTCCACAGTCACTTTAACTTAACTACTTTTATAAACACACTATAATTCACAGCGATTCACACACTTTACTTACGGTGCCTACTGTTCGCTTGACTCAATTATCTCTCTCTTCAATCTATCTGCATTTATATACTAAAAAAAAGGGCACCTGGAACAAACTAGAGTTGCCAGGAAAATTCATGATCCTTTGAGAAACTCCAGTGCGCATACTCCCAGCGTCGCGTGACTTCCACTGTCGTAACAGTATTATATGGTTGACATGTCTTAACTGATTGTTACATGGATTGTCCTTGTGTTGCGTGACTGGCCAAAGTCCCAACCTCAATTTTGTCACTACTAGTGAAGTGATTCCTAGACCTCTGATGAAAATAATGTACATTGAACTTA